AGCTCTCAGCCATTCTTGTCAATCACCGAACAGTGCCCTCCTAAGCCCCACCCTGTAGGCGTGGCCTCCCTGCATGTTAGGGGCTGGGCCTACCCTTTACGGAGATAGGCTCCCGATTTTTACATCTTTCTCTCTACTTGGTTGTATTTCTTCAAAGTTCTAGAATAAGCATGTATTATCTGCATAGCAAGACAAAGGAAAACTCAAGGTAAGAAAAGAATAACAAGGGGCATATCCCTACCTGTTCTTTTCTTCTTACTCTGGAACCCAGTAGGGGAGGACATCCTTTGGTTTCCTTCTTTACTAGCTACCAAGTTATGAGGAATAAGAATGATCATAATTTACATTTCTTCACCTATGTTCAGCATTGTTGCATGCTCCAAACTGTGGTCACCAATGTGAAATTGGTTAAGAACTTTAAAAAAAAAACCAGCTGGTAAGGAAGGCAGGAATGATTAACCCATTTATCAGGTGGGAAAACTGAGGGTGGTGAGTCAGTTGCACAAAGTCACACGACTGGTAAGGAAGAGAAAGGTGTGGGGGGTTACCCTCAGGCATTTTGGTGCTAAACGCAGTGTTCCTCTGCACAGTGCGTGTGGGGGGGGCAGTGGGATGAGGGTGCTGAAGACGAGGTGGAGGTTTGCACCTCCTGGGATGGCTGCAGAGGGGATCAGTGGAGTGAGAAAAGGACTTGGGGTCATGAGGTTCTTCTGCCTTTGCTGCAAAGGCCGCTTGGAAGCTGTGGGTTTTGGGGGCTGCTGAGGATGGCCTCGCCCTCTCCCTGCTGTTTTGTGTCCTAGGAGGGGACAGGAGTCTGGTACCAGGTTCAGCATCCCTCCCCCCAAGTCCTGCTTACTGTGCCATACCCGTTTCTCAGCCTCCCAGGTGTCCATGACCACGAGCGTGGTATCCTCTCCATCCACCGTGAGGGTCCTCTCGTACACATCTTCTGCAACCGAGGAAAGAGCCAGATCTCAGGGAGGAGGGGCAGGCATGGGGAGGGTATGGCCCCTCTAGTTCCCTTTCTGGTTACAGTGCCCCCCCACCCCACTTGTGCTCCACACTTGTTTGATGTGTCTCTCCTGATAGGTCAAGAAGCTCCATGAGGAGCCCATGTTTCCCCAGCTCCCAGCATCATATCTGGCATGTAGTAGGGGCTGAGAAAGCTTTTGTCAGTTTGGTTGATTGATGAGCATGGGATGGTGGGGTTAAAGCTGGGCTGGGAATTCTCCCAGTCCCTCTCTGTCCCTAACTTAGGGTATGCTTTGGGCAGGTCACATTACCCTCTTAGGGCCTCAGTCTCCCCATTTGTCACACCTACAAGTAAATATGTACACCTCTCATCTGGGGCTCTCACACTCAGAGGGGTCAAGGCTAGAGAAGGGGCCTGGCCAGAGTGTCCCCACTTTCTCTTTGCTTTTAACCAACTTCCCTCTGCACTCAGTCTGTGTCCTCTCAGCTGGTCCTGTAGGAACCCTTCTTCATTTCTTCTGTCCTGTCTCTGTCTCCCCTCATCCTGGGGTCCCTGACCCTCTCAGCTCACTGCATCTCTCGGGAATAAAGGAACCTGGAGAGTCTCCATTTGGGGCAGGATCTTAGTTTTGCTGTAGGTCATGGTAGCCATGGATGGTTGTCTGTGGGGCTAGGAAGATCTGCGAATCAGTGGAAGTTAGGGCTGGGAGTTTCTGAGTGGGGTGCAAGCCTGACATTTCTTTCCATCTGAGATTCATGGAACTCAGAATTGCTTCCCTTATGACATGGAAATTAATCATATACCTCATCCATGAGAAATGGGCAACCTTCTCACTATTCAAGGCATTTCCCTCCTATAGACCATTGTGCGGACTGTGCACTGCACCGTCTTGTGGGGGTGTGTGTGGGGACCATTCACTTCATAGTCTATGTGAACGATGCCCTTTCAAGTTGAGCTGTGCGTGAGTTGCACAACTCTTCTTGGCAGCCTTGTGCCCCTGACGACAGGCCTTTCACTCCTTTGGGCACATCCCAGCCCAGCCCACAGGGTCCCTACCTCCCAGCTGTTCATGGAGGTCCCGCTCTTGCTTCCCGGCAAAGAGGCTGGCCAGACTGGTCTTCCCTACGCCAGGGTCTCCAAGCAGTACCACGCGGTAGAGGGCCTCCCAGGAGCCTTCGGAGTCACTGGATTCAGAGGACCAACCATTGGGGGCAGGCGAAGGTTGCCGGGTGGGAGGATTGAGGGAGGCTGACTGGCCCAGCCGGGGATGCTGGGATTTTGTGGAAGGTGCTGCACAAAGGAGGCCAGGCTGGTGGCCCCGGGGGGACAGGGTCAGTGGCGTGCTGGCTCGCCGACGCAGGGGGGTCTTTGTGTCTTGCTGGGTGTTTAGTGTCATCCTTGGGTGGGAGGGGCTTTGTTCCTTCCTTCTCTCCTTCTGTAAGCAAGAAGCAAGAATGGTAGTGAACCAGGCATTGCAGGGTCCAGATGAGCTCCCAAGAGGACTTCCTCCAAACCTTCTCTTGTTCAAATGACAGGAGGAGGCGCCTCAGCTCCTCGGGGTGGGGGCTTCCTGGCTTTGGGGCCAGAGTAAACCTGGGTCAGGCTGGGACATGTGAGTGTGCAAGCTATGAGCACACGCTTGCACACCCACAGGTCACTTCCTACGCCTTGAGGATGACCCCAAGCCCCAGGACACACAGACGGAGACAGACAGAGGGGCGGCAGCGAGGTGGCATGCCCACACACGCACGCACCCACCCGTGTACACAGACGCGCCCCTCGCATTTGGAACATGGGACCTACGTTCCGAAAGTCGTCTTAATTTCCCGGTCCTCCCCTTCCCCACAGTTCTCTTCTCCAAGGCTCAGATCGGGGTTGGAGGGTTGAGGGCCCCCGGGGGGTTCCCTTCCGCGGCCCCATCTCCTAAGTGGGTTGAGCTGAGAAGAGGCAGGATAGAGTGGGTTGGTATTCCGAAGGGCAAAGGGCGAGGGGAGTCTGGGGGTTCCCTCGCCTGTAACCCGAGCACCCTGGTGCCATGGGAACGGCGTGTTCGGCCCGCCCCCTACGTGAAAAATTCACGAGAGGCTGGCGCGACGGCCTCCAGCGGCTGTTCGGGGGTGGGGGTTTCGAGGCTGCGGAGACCCAGTTTTGGTGATAGGACAGGGTCCTGGAGGGAGGCGGGGAAGGGACCTACAGGGCCTGGGGGCGCATGTGCCATTCCTGGAGTCTGAGTCCGAGCTTCCCCCGCCCCGGGTCCTGGGTGTGAGTCCCCTGATCCCGGGAGGGCTCCTTGTCCGAGGCTCTCCAACCCACTAGGCCCCAGGCCGGAGGACCCTTACCCCGGGACGTGGGTTCGAGGCCTCCCTCGCCCCTGCCTGCGCCGCAGAGCCTCCCCCCGCCCTCCGCCCCCCAGTCAGGCGCCTGGCGAACTCCGCTCCAACTTGACTAAGTTGGCGGCGGGCTGCGCGGGCCTTTACCTCGCGTGGGGAGGGGTCCAGGGTCCCCGGCCGCCGCAGCTGCCGGGTGCTGCAGGCTGCACCACCGCCTCGGCGCGCAGCCCCTGGGGCCGGTCCCGCCCAGCCGCCGGGGCCGGGGGAGGAGCCGCGACCCCGCCCCGTCCAGCCCCGCCCCGTCAGGGCAGCCCCGGGGTCCCCGCCCCGAGGCCTCCGCCGCCCAACGACTTCTCGACTTTCCGCAGAGCTCCCTTGACCCACTGCTGCAAGGCTTTCTCCTGGGGTGGTGGTGGCAGTGTTGGGGTGGGGGGCGAGAGAGAGGAAAAAAGGGATTTCTAAATTCCTGGGTGTGGACCCCCTCTGTATCCACGCCAGCGACGGGGCGCGCCAACTTTAGCCCTCGCAGAATCCACCTGGGGAGCTGGTTGAATGTTGCTTCTGAGGTCTCACCCTTCAGGAGAGGCGGATTCAGCCCGTTCTGGGGGGAATCTGCATATTAAAGAATTGCATATTCAGGAATCTGCATATTAAACAAATGCTCAGTGATCTTGCAGAGTTCATGGACCCCACTTTGAGAAATTCAGCTCTGGATGGAGAATTAATCTGGGGAGGTGGCTTCAGGGGAGGAGGGAGCCTAGGAAGTCTGCACTGAAGACTTCTGGATATCTGATTTTGGCATTCCATTCGTTCATTCACCAAGTTCTAGGTTAAGCACTCTTTATGCAAGAGGCGGTCCTGGGCCTGGAAGAAAGCCTGTCCCCTCCCTGATGAATATTTACTGGACATTTGGGCTGTGGCTGGTATGATTTGAGCACTTTGCCTCCATTATTAGCTCATTTAATTCCAGCACAACACTAGAAGGATGATTACACTGAAGCTTATCTGGGCCCAGCGTTCAGGATTCTGCCTCTCAGCCAACCGTCCCTTTCCATCACCGCCCTTGGCTTTAAAAATAATTCTTCTTAGGCACTTGGAGAAGGAGAGACACATTGTGATAGAGTAGGGCAGTTGGCTGTAGGGAATTGGTGATTCCAGCCATCTGAGGGACCAGGATCCAGGCTCTTTGAGCAGGGTGCTTCCTTTGAGGTCTCTAAGGACGGGGGTGGGTTTGTATGTGGGCCCTTGCAGACCAGGCTGTACCTGTGCGTGGGGTTCATTGTCATGGCTGAGGGGATCCAGGTGTCCAGCTCAGAGCAACTCCCAGAGCAGGCCTGTAGATTAGCTCAGCCCCCGCAGGGCTCAGGGCAGACACTGTACCCCCTCACGCCTGGCCTCCTTCTGTGGTTTGGCCTTCTGAGCATCCCTTACCTACAAGATGGACTGTGACTGGTATCTTGTTGGGCAACTTAGCTTCTAGTTCCAACTTGGCCGCTCGGCCGCTCATTCACTGTATGGCTGAGCAGTTTGCCGCAGAGCTGGCTGAGATCCAGCTACATCCTTGGGCTCACAGAGCCTCAGCCTCCCACTCAGGCCTCTGGTTGCCCACACTCCAGCCTTGATCTGCAGCCTGATAAAGGCTGGGCCGCAGGCAGCAGTGCTCAGTATGCCTGGCTCCTCTGGTGTTCTCTGTGGTCATGACACAGCTGCTGCTGCTCATTGTGGCTCTCCTGGCCCTGGGTCATCTGCCTCCAGGTAAGTGTGTGTGTGTGTGTGTGTGTCTGTGTAATAGCGTCCAAGGTTCTGGGGGATAGAGAAGGCCTAGACCAGTGTTTGTTTTCTGGTCCCACCTCTAACCTGCTGGGCTCCTTAGGGTAACTTCCTAAATCAGTCTGCACCTCAGTTTCTTAATCCTTAAAGTGGGGTTCACGCAACAAATATTTTTTGAAGAATATTTACTTTGGGTTGACACCATGACAGCTGTTGGGGATCTGTCAGGGAAAGAAAACAAGGTCCTTGCTTTCATGGTGCTGGTATTTCAGACAGAAAAGAACCAAATAAACACATGATATATCAGGTGGTGATAAGTGTTCAGAAGAATAGAAGCAGAGCCAGGGGTCAGTGTGGTGTGTGCTTGCGGTGGGGGGAGGTATGGATGGGAGAGCTGATGGGGATGGTCAAGGGAGGCCCTGGGTATTTTTTATTCTGAACAACTTGAAATTTACATGAATGTAGAGAGATTAATATAACGAACAAGGTGAGTCTTTTTTTTTAATGCAAACGTAGAGAATAATGTAATGGTATTATTTATTTATTTTTTAAAGATTTTATTTATTTGTCAGATAGAGATCACAAGTAGGCAGACAGAGAGAGAGGAGGAAGCAGGCTCCCTGCTGAGCAGAGAGTCCGATGTGGGGCTTGATTCCAGGCCTCTGGGATCATGACCCGAGCCGAAGGCAGAGGCTTTAACCCACTGAGCCACCCAGGCGCCTCTGTAATGCTATTTTTAAAAGAAACCTTTTCATTTTAGAAAATGCCAAACATAAATTTAAAAATAGTATAACAAACCCCGGTGTAGCTTCACCCAATCTCAACAATCGTCACCGTGAACCAGCTTGGTTTTAGTGAACTATCATAAAGTCAGTCTCAGGTATCTTCACCATTTCATGTAAGGTTTTTTTTTTTTTTTTAAGATTTTATTTATTTATTTGACAGAGATCACAAGTAGGCAGAGAGGCAGGCAGAGAGGGAGAGGGAAGCAGGCTACCCACTGAGCAGAGAGCCCTACGTGGGGCTCGATCCCAGGACCCTGGGATCATGACCTGAGCTGAAGGCTCAGGTAACCCACTGAGCCACCCAGGCACCCCTGTAAGGTCGTTTTTGAGCTGAGATCTGACTGCGGTGAGAATATTAAGATCTTCTCAGGCACCAGGAGGCAGGAGGGTGCCCAATGTGTCTGAGGAGCCTTGAGGAGACCCATATGGCTGGAGTGGGAGTGCACCAGGAGAGAAGATGAAGTCAAAGAGACGAGCAGGGCAGGAGGTACAGATCATGTAGGAGAAAATAGCAAATCTGGGTCTCCGGGTCATCAGAAGGTCGAAATGTGGTGATGTGTTAAGAGTAGTGATAGGAACTGCCCTCACCTGGGAGTCAGAGTCTTGGGTTTTGGCTCCAGAACCCCCCACTGACTGGCTGGGAAATGCTGGGTAACTCGCTTCCTGTCCTGACCTATGAAAGGAGAGGCTTGGCGGCAAATGGGCTGCAGTTGCTCTGCCCTCTGCACTGTCATTCTGATAATCTCGCTTGCCCTGTGTGGGGTGTTTACTATTGGCCAGGCACTGTGCTAGAAGGATGAAAGTCCATATAGCTGCTCCCTGAAAGGGGGGAAGTTCCACAGAGGAGGAATCTGAGGCCAAGGTCACTCATCAGGGAACTGGCAGAGCTGGGATTTGGATCTGAGCTGGATTCACGCCGATCTGAGCTGGATTCACGCCGTCCGCTAACTGCTATACTGTAGCGGTTCGCTTCTTCAGAGGGTGGATCCTCTGCCTTGTAGAGATTTTGAGGCTAGGTCCGTCTCATTCTAAGATTCCCTACCTTGGCAGAATGGAAGGATGGCTGGTTGACGGGGCAGAATAACACCCGTGGGTTGGTCCATTGGGAGGGTTCTGTGGGATCTCTCTCTCTCTCTCTCTTTTTAAGAAATTATTTATTTGAGAGAAAGAGAGAGAGAGAGAGAGATAACATGGTGGGGAAAGGTAGAGAGAGAGAGAGAGAGAGAGGCAGAGAGAGAACCCCAAGCAGACTCCCCACTGAGTCCAGAGCCCAACGCAGGGATCATGACCAGAGTCAAAATCAAGAGTCAGACGCCCAACTGACTGAGCTCCCCAGGCGCCCCCATGGGATCTCTTTTAATTGAGGAAGAGAGAGGGAAGCCTTTCCCCTCCAGCTCCTACTCAGCCCAGTTCTTCAGAGCTGCTCTCTGCCCACCTGGGTCACATGCCTAGAAATACTGCTGGAACAGAAAGGTCTGCCTGAGCCTGCTTCTCTCTTCACATTTGCACACCTGTCCTAACTGGCCATCACCACATCCTGATGGTTTCCTTCGGGATGCTTTCCACAGTTCTAGTGATTGTATTTATTCGCTAGGGTATTAATTGCCTTTCCTTCTAGGAGCTCCTTGAGGGCATGGACCTTGGCCCATCTTGTTCATTGTGGTGTTCCCAATGTCCCAGGTTTGTTGAATGAATAAATGAAGGCGATGCCTCAGGCTGTGACCAAAGACCCTTAGAGGGGGTACAGGAGGACCTGTTCCTCCAAAACCCTACCTTTTCCATGGCCCGTGGCTAGAAATTCCTCCACTAACATTTAACAGGTCCCTATGTGTGTGAGGGAGTTTATGTCATGATTATGAGTGTGGACTTTAGAGCCTGATTATCTGGGTTTGAATCGTGGTTCTGCTCCTCATGTCTCTGTAATCCTGGGCAAGGTTGTTAACTTTCCCGTGCCTCAGTTTCCTTACCTTGTATTACAGGGATCATAATAAGACCAACTGTAATTGTATAGTGTTGTGATGAAAAGTGCTTAGAGTGTACCTGAGCAGGGGGTGGGTGGACAAGACATTAGTTTCCAGGGGCACCTGGGTGTCTCAGTCGGTTAAGCATCTGACTCTTTTTTTTTTTTTAAAGATTTTATTTATTTATTTGACAGACAGAGATCACAAGTAGGCAGAGAGGCAGGCAGAGAGAGAGGGGGAAGCAGGTTGCCCGCTGAGCAGAGAGCCCGATGTGGGGCTCGATCCCAGGACTCCGGGATCATGACCTGGGCCGAAGGCAGAGGCTTTAACCCACTGAGCCACCCAGGCGCCCCAAGCATCTGACTCTTGATTCCAGGTCAGGTCATGATCTCTGGGTTGTGAGGTCGAGCCCCATGTCAGGCTGCAAACTCAATGCAGAGTCTGCTTGAGAGTCTCTCTCCATCTCCCTCTGCCCCTCCCCTCACTTGCTCTCTAAGTACATTTAAAAAAAAAAAAATCTGAAAAAAAAAAAAAAAAAGGAAATCAGTTTTTAACTTATAACTAGTGGTCTAACTTGTGACCTATGGGCTAACCTGGACCGAAATCTGAAGGCTCATTTGTAACTAGTTGTCTCATCTGTGACTAGGAGTCTAATCTGTTCCATCTAATCTAACCCCTTGACCTGTGGTCAGAGTTTGTGTCCAAGTTATGACCTGTGGGCTGTTATGTAATCAGTCACCCAACACAATCACCGGAGAGCTAACAAAAGACCAGACTTGTGATCTAATGTGGGTCCCGTGGTCTAGCTTGTGGTCAGGGGTTTTATCTGTGACCTGTGGCTTAACCCCTGATGTATGGTCAAAGCTGTGCATAGCAATCTAACCTGCAATGCCTGGGCTGCCCTGTGACCTGTGGTCTTCCTCTGCCTAGGGAGAAGTGAATTTAAGCGGTGCTGGAAGGGCCAGGGGGCCTGCCGGACTTACTGTACAAGGCAAGAAACCTACATGCACATGTGCCCCGATGCCTCCCTGTGCTGCATCCCCTATGGAATCAGGCCTCTGCTCTTTAAGCCTTAATGTGGAGCTGGTTCTGGGGCTGGCACCCTTGCTCTCCAATAAACACCTGCTACTGGCTGTCTCCTTTGCTGCTTGCTCACCACCAGGCCACCCCGTGCCGGGGGTATGGGGGTGCATGAGGTCCTGGTATGGCCGGGATGGAGGGATGGTTGGTGAAGGGAGGCGAGGCGCCCGGGGCCAGTGGGTATTAATGACCTCGGTAAATGGTTTCACGTCTGCCTATAAGATCCCTTCTGCTCTCTCCAACTCTGGAAAAATTTCCCAATCTCCACAAGCATCCTGAGTCTTCTCATCCATGCAGTGGGGATAAATGATAATATCAGGAGAATTGGACCTTATAGAAGGAATGCAAAAAGGAGGTTAGAGTTAATAGTAACAATGTGAGCTAATAATAATAATGAGTTAATTACAGAAAGGATGAATAATGGTAGAGTTAATATCCTTTGGCATTTTAAAAGGCAGGCCCTCAAGAGTGAAAGGATTTCTCTAGGTTCCTTTATCTCCTATTTTAGTATTGCAGGGGCCTGGCCAGGTGAAAAAGACCACAGGCTTTTAGGAAAACAGTTTTCACTTATGCAGGATAAGCAGAAAGGGGAGAAGTGGGCCTCAGCCAGATCCAGGGCAACCGTGGGCACGGGAAGGCCGGAAGGCCGGGAGAAAATGTGAGCAGTCTGGGAGGTAGGCTGACAGAGTCACGTGCCAGTTACCCTGCATTAGGATCACATCTGGCTGAAAAATAGGTATCTCAACTTGCAGGGGCTTATCTGGATTTAGGCAGAAACCACATCGGGCGAGTATCCTGTTGGATCCCCTATGGCCTCCAAAACTTCAGCGCAACGTCATTGTTTGAGGCAGGAAGCAGGGGGAGGGTTGAACTGAGCAAGTTTCTCACTTTTACCAGGAAAGCAAACGCTGTCCCTGGAACTGTCCCCAGCAGACTTCTGCCTCCTTCTCAGGGGCCAGAGCTGTGTCACATGGCTATGGGCCGGCAGCTTCCCGTGTCAGGCAGGCTGGGAAGAATGTATTTGCCGGGATAGTAGACAGGGCCTGGGGGTGGGGGAAGGGAGCTGGGGAAGACCTCCCGTGTTGACCCACCTTCTCCTGGGGTGGAGCCCAGAAAGGGGCAGGCCTGTTCAATAAGGTGAAGGGAACGCCAAGGACAGAAGGGCTCTCACCCACTGTCCTTTGAGACTTTTCAGAGGAGTTCAGGGTAGTCTTGGAGTAAGAGAAAGGCCCTTGCTTGGCCTGGCTAAGAAGAGTGGTGCTATTCAAAATACTTACCATAAGGAGGGAGTGAGTCTCAGGCCTGGAGCGGAGTCTTGGAGGCTAGCTGCTATGTTAACCCTTTAGTTGCTGGTATGAAAGGGACCTGGGAAGGTGCCAGAGGCAGCTGGACTGGAGGAGCGGGGAGGGGATACAGAAGGATCTTGGGCAGCCACTTTTTACCAACCAGGAGGAAAGTACTGAATTATTTTAATAACAAAGCATGCTTCCTGAGTATCAGCCTTGCCTCTGTATCCCCCTCAGTTTCTGGATGACCTAGACATTGAATTGATGGCCTCTGGGCCTGTTTTAGGACCCCGTGTGGTGGGGTGGAGTGGGCTTTGTGTTGGGAGCCTAGAAAGAGAACCAGATAAGAACCCCAGAGCCGGCCACATGTGAGCCATGTGAGGTGACCTTAGCCAGTATCACCAGTAGGCCTTGATGAGTCAGCAGGAGGCCTGACCAGTTCACCAGCAGCCAGCTGCCACTAGAAAGATTCCAGCAGATGCCGGTCACTGAAACTCCTCATCCCCAGCACAGCTGTCCTATTTGGGAGAAGCAGGGGAGGAAAGGAGGAATCAGGAAGCCTGAGCAATTATACCAAAGAGACTGAGTCTCTCCGAATTCAAGAAAACTCAAGAGAACATTGAAGTTGTTGAATTAGACCAAGTTTTATCCTGCGGTGAACTAAGTTTAGTTCTGTCTTCTACCCCCTCCCCTCTGTGTTATTCTACAAAGAGTGGAGAAGCTATGTCTTCTTTGCTCAGTCCCAGACATGGTGCAGGGAGTCTGTGACCTTGTTGCAGTATGTGATGAGTTTGAGGCGTGAGGAGTCAGATTCAAGTTCATACGCCAGCTCTACCACGTCCAGGCCTCGGGCTGTGAGCACAGGGCAAGTCCCTTCCTGCATCTGATGTCAGAATCCTCCCCTGCAAAATGGGCATCCTAGCTTTGAATGGGGTGGCTGTGGGGTCAGATGAGATTCTCCCGTGTTCTGTCAGGGCTCCGTAAAACTGTCTTTTCTCCAGAGCCAGAAGCATGCCGCTGGCCTTCTTCTCCACACATTTCAGACTTCAGAAAATCTGCAAGAACAATGCAAAGAATTCCCGTAGATCCTTCACCCAGTTTTCCCAAATATTAACATTTTATCACTTTTACCTTATCATTTCTTCTCTCTCTATATGTGTGTATATAAAAGATATAAATATATGTGTGTGTATTTATCTGTATGTAAGACATGAGCCCCTTTAGGCCTAAATACTTTAGGGGGTTTTTCCTAAAAACAAAGGCATTTTTTTTTATATAACCACAGTATAATGACAAAACTAGGGACATTCACATTGACAAAATTCTATGGTCTAATCTTCAGATCTTGTTCAGCTTTTACCAGCTCTTCCCAAAAAGTCCTGTATAGCCCAACAAAACCTCTGGATCACATAGTGCAAGCAGCTGTCAATTTCTTTGACCTCATTTAACCTGGAGCTGTTCTTCAGTGTTTTGTGACACTGATGTCTTGGAGGTCAGGCCAGTTATTTTGTGGAACGTCCCTCAGTTTGAGTTTGTCTGATGTGTCCTCATGACTGAATTCAGCTTATGCATTTTTGGCAGGAATATTCCAGAAGCAATGCTGTGTTTCCCTCAGAGCATCATGTTGAAGGCAGCCATCACCCTTCTAGGGACTGAACTGAGACCCAACAGTCTAGATAGGTTTTTTTGGAAGCTCACACCTCACATGTGCAGGACAGTTTCCCACCCAGCACCCTAACAGACCATCGTCTAAGCCTATATCCCACCGCCTAGGTCATACGGATGCACCTAACAGGTCAAGGAGATGAGGCAATTCTAGGGTGGAAGGTTCCTCAAGATACTTCACAGATGAGGCTCCCAAGCTCAGAGACGGGGAGTAACTTGTCCAAAGCCACACAGCTCCTGAGGCACAGAGCTGGGATGTGGACTTAAATCTTTGAACTTCAGGTCAAGGTTTCTTCCCAGAAAAACAGTAGCCACACATGGGTAGGACAGGCCATTGTGAAGGGGAAGGTTTGGGAGCAAGAGCGCTCCTTGGCCCTGGAGGTATGCAAGGTGAGCTAGGGGGGTGGACAATGCTACAGAAGGGATTTGTGTTGTGTATTGGCATTCAGCAGCACTATTTCAGAGCACAAACATTCCCCAGGGAGTCATCGAATGGCTGTTCTAGTGATAACAATACTATCACTGGGCCATTATTAGGAAGGACCAGCAGCTTTAAACACCTCATCTCATTTAATTATCATAGTCATGGTACTATTATCCCCTCCTTTTCTGGAAGGCAGCTGAAGCTTTTAGTGAAGCATTGTCCAGGTCATACACCAGTAAATGGTGTTGCTGGGACTCCACACTGGCCCTCTGGCACTTGATTTTATCTTCCAGATTCACCCTTACTTGTGTTTTTTAAAATTTACAAGTAATATATGTTCATTGGAGAGAACTTGGGAAACAGAAGCACAAATAAGAAAGCAAACATCATCAGTATTTTCACTACACATAAATACCCACAAATAAAATATATGTAAAATGGGATTTGCAAATAAAAAGGAATAAAAGTGCACATACTTTTTGGTGTCCTGGTTTTTTGTCTTTGTTTTGTTTTTTATTTAAAAATGTCTCACGAGCATTTCCACATGTGCTTAGATAGTCTTCCAAAACAAGATTTTTAAAAAACGTTTTATTTGTTTGACAGACAGAGATCACAAGTAGGCAGAGAGGCAGGCAGATAGAGGGGAAGCAGGCTCCCCGCCAAGCAGAGAGCCCGATGTGGGGCCCGATCCCAGGACCCTGGGATCATGACCTGAGCGGAAGGCAGAGGCTTAACCCACTGAGTCACCCAGGTGCCCCCAAAACAAGATTTTTAACGTTAAAATATCTCCCAAAGCTTCCTTAAAATTTTCCAATTTTTATTACTTGAGTAGAATGGTTAGAACACATTGCAGGAAAATAAAACATAGATGAGTTTCAAAATATTTACCTCTCTTATAATCTCTGTTAGTTTTTTTTAATATTTTATTTATTTATTTGACAGAGATCACAGGTAGGCAGAGAGGCAGGCGGGGGTGGGGAGAAGCAGGCTTCCCGCTGAGCAGAGAGCCCAATGTGGGGCTCAATCCCAGGACCCTGAGATCATGACCTGAGCTGAAGGCAGAGGCTTAACCCACTGAGCCACCTAGGTGCTCCTTGCTTATCCATTTGAGATAGAGAATGCACATGTGTGCATGAGCTGAGGGGGCAGAGGGAGACGGAGAAACAGGCTTGGGGAGCAGGGAGCCTGAAGGGCAAAAAATATGGATCACTTCACGAATTTGCGTGTCATCCTTGCACAGGGATGTATCTCTGTATCTGTTCAATTTTAGTATATGTGCTGCCCAAATGAGTACTATCCAAATTTTCGTAGAGACTCTTCTATTAGAGATTAGAGGAGTTCTTGTTCCACTGGCAGGTGGATCCCTTTGGGCTTACAGAAGCGAAAAGAACAAGAGGGTGAAGATGACAGGTACTGTAGGGGCTTTGGGGTAAGGTTTGGTGGCCCCCCTACTCCCTTCCCCACCCGGGTTTTCCACGGCAAAGTGTTGAGTGGAATATGCTTATTGTGCCAGGGCTACCTCGAAGTCTGAGAGCCAGGCAACAATCAGGTGTGGCCCCAGATTCCTTGACAATGGCTCAGGAAGGCACCTTTCTGGAGACTGCCATACAAAGTGAACTTT